GAAAAAATTACCGGCCGAAAAATTTTTCGGCTAATTTTTTTATAGGTGTCCCAGGAATAATGAAAACAGCTGTAACTGCCATTTCCTGTAACTTTGTATTTTTCTGTTTTATTTCGGCGGGCTTCGCAATTTGATTGGTTGATCAAATTTGGTATGTACATAGATGCACCCGGTATATTACATGGTGGATCTATTATCGTAGGGAATCTTGTATACGATGATTTGCGGTACCCCAAACTATATTAATTTTTAAAGTATTTAATTTATTGTGTTAGTACCTAATATAATAACATAGAACAACATAGAATATTAACTTATTAACCATTTATGTGTATGATCTTTCCATACTCTAAAAAATTTCTCTTGTCTGAGTATTTAACTTAAATTATTATAGTCTAATGTTGATGCGTTGTGATAAATTGCTAAATAGGATACTAATATAGACATATATTTACATGTTGCATCAACTATTACCAAGTTACTAATTCTTGTCATATCTACATTGCCACAATATAAAGCATAAATCTGTTGATCTTGCTTTCCTTTCTATTTCCTTTCACCTTCACTCAATAAGTGGGTTATTCTTTGTATCGCAAGATCAGCTTCTGTCACACAATCAGCAAAATTTATTCGCTTTGCAAAAAGGCGAGCCTTTTCATAATATTCGTTAGCTTTTGTAAAATTACCAGATAACTAAAAATAGTGGATAAAATTAGTACGAGAATAAGATACGCGAAAATGATTAAATAACAAAACATACTTCTGAAATCATTCCTAAATTAAATAGCAATACACCACAGCTTTCATCACATTCCCTCATAATTTTCTTTTTTGGGCGAAAATTTTCTACGAGTTTTAGGCCACGTTCAGCCCATCCCTGTGCTTCTTCTAGGTTGCCCATTCCGGTAAACACCTCTGCTATGTTGTTCATAAGAACAGCTGAATGGCAAGAAGATTCAGGTGGATTGATCAAAGATAAAGCACGAAGATAAAGCGGGAGTGCATAGCTATAAAAAACACCAGCGTAACATGTTTTATCCATATTTTTTTATAATTAGTATAAAGACCCTATATGTAAACTTGTTCATAACACTAATCTCTACAGATCTTCAACAAAAGATCGTTAGAAATCTTTTCTTCAACGTAACCTTCATAAATGTCACTTACGCATATTTATGTTGTGAAGAATAAAAAGACGCCAGGGCTTCAAGAGAAGCACCTAAATCTGTTAATGTCATCCAAGACGGAAAAGCGTTTATCTCATGCCTCTTTGAAAAAATTCCACTTTGATCATCATTCTTATGTTGACTTAATTGAGCACTCTCGGCTTGTGACTGCAGTAATTGCTCTACTGACCACACATAATATTTCTCAGCTTGTTCATTTTGCTTCAGACTTTGGTGTAAATCACCAAGTTTTTGTGCTAACGCGATCAATCTGATTTTATTTTCACCCTCCAATTTTATCGGAACGTTGTCAGGAGTAGAAATTGCGTCATAAGCCATCGTGAAAACATCAATAGCATCACGCGTCCTACCAAGTTCCTCGTAAAGGCTACCTAGCTGAATCATTATACCTGTAACTTCGGGAGAAGCATTATCTAATTGTTTGTGATTAAAAGCCTGAGTTAAAGCAGTTTGATAAAAATTAACAGCACGGTTTGGATCATTTCGATAGTTTTGATAAAAGAGACCCTTCCGAAGATTTTTACGAATTTCTTCGGGATATTTGTAAACAGAAGAGGTGAAATACTGATAAAGATAGAAGCTCAAAAGTGCAGATGCTGCAAGTATGAGTACTAGAGGGAGAGTAGTTATTGATTTATTTCTGGGTGATTCTTGAATAATTGTTAGTATGTTAGTATGTTCTGATTGACTTCTGTTATCTGAATCAAGAACTGGGTTAGGAATTTTTTCAGAATTATTTGATTGAGCTACGTTATCCGGAGAAAGTTGTGTTTTATTTTCTGGTGTTAGCGATCGATTTGCTTTTTCAGTAGAGAACTTCCTTACTCTGGCTCTTACTACCGACTGACGTTGAGAAGTAAAAGAATGAAAGGTGGATGTCTTACAAGTCCGCTTAAAAGCAATAGACAAGTGCGTAAAATTAAAGGGAGTACCCAAGGGACAAGGGTGTCTTGGTAATGTCCTTGAGAAAAGTATAGTTGCCATTTTCGAACTAATGGTTATTGGCTCTTTTCAAGGTAGACTACAGAAAAATCCTCAATCCCGTGATTTCCGCATATTGACGGATTTATTTCCGCTGTGATTATTAGAATCTCACGCTGATTGGTTGATTTATTTAGTTTACTACAGTACTATTAAAATTTTGTCAAAAAACATCCAAA